GAGCAGGCTGTGGGAGAGCCGGCCGTGCCCCGGGCCCGGCTCACCTGGCGGCTGTGCATCCTCACGGTCACCTGCCCGTAGAGGTTGCCGCGGTTCAGGACGCCCTCACAGCGCACGTGCACCACCCTGGGGGGCTCCAGCGACTCCACAAAGCTCCAGCGGATGGTTTTGTACCTGTTCCCTCGCACCATGTCCTGCCAGCAGAAATCAGCCTGGCATTAATTAAATTAGTAACGATCTGTTCGCGCCCGACAGCGAAAATCAGCTCCCAGCCTGGTGGCTCTTGGGGCTGTTTTTGGTTTTGTTAAGGTTGGGACTGAAGGTATTTAGAGGGAATTTAGGTCTAAATGTTCAGGTTTTATTTATGTTTAGCTTTAGATATTTCAGTTTTATCATGTTTAGGTTTAGGTGGTTATTATGTTTTATTTATGTTTAGGTTTAGATGTTTATTGCTTTTATTTATATTTTAAGTTGTGAGTTTTACAGTATTTTACTAATAAGTTACAAAAAGGTTAGCTATTTCTACACAAGGTCTTTTAAATTATTTAACTAAGAAATCATATTTAAATTATTTTTATTTTTAGCTTAATAACTAATTACGCGAAGTCAACAACACAGACTTTTCTGTCTAATTATAAAATACCACTTAAACTTGTGAAGAACAATTAGTTACTGTTCTAAAACTTATATTTTGCCTTATATAGGTTGTTATATTTTAAAATCTTAAATTTTAGGTTTTTTATTTAGTGATATTACTTCTAATCAAAGTACACATTTGTAATCTTAGTGTTACTAATCAACTCTGGAAGTTTTTTTTATGGTCCTAGGTCAAACACAGGATTTTCTTGCGGGTCTGTGCTCTTCAGCACAGAAAGTTTAAAATTTTCAGCACCTAGGATTCCAACACAACTCAGTTTGGATGTTAATGGGAGCAAGGAGAAAACGCCACAAATGTTTCATTGGTTGTTGGTGAATTTTGGGTTTTTCCTCCCAGCTCTTTGCTGAATCCAGGAAAAAAAAAAAAAAAAAATTTAAAAAAAAAAAAAAAAGGGGGAAAAAAAAAAAAAAAAAAAAAAAAAAAAAAAAAAAAAGGAAAAAAAAAAAAAAAAAAAAAAAGAAAAAAAAAAAGAAAAAAGACACTGCCAGGGGGTCCCTCCCAGCGGGGACACCCCAAAATTCCAGGCACTTACGGGGTAGCAGCGCTCGGTCACCAGGGAGTGAAGCTTCTGCTTGTTGAAGCTGCAAAGGGAACAGCCCAGCCACCCCAGCTCAGGAAAGGAGCTTCCCCACAAACTCCTGATATCCCCAGATTCCTGATATTCCCACAAATTCCTGCTTTCCCCACAGATTCCTGCTATTCCCCACACAAATCCCAGCGCTAGCCCCACAAATTCTTGCATTTCCCCCACAATTTCCTGATATTCACCTCACACAAATTCCTGCAATTCTCCCCACAAAATCTTCCATTTCCCCCACAAATTCCAGCTCTGGCCCCACAAATTCTTGCATTTCCCCCACAATTTCCTGCTTTCTCCTCACAAATTGCAGCTTTGCCCCCACACAAATGCCTCCTTGCCCCCCACAAATTCCCCTCTCAAATTCCCCATTTCCCCCACACAAATTCCCACTTCTTCTCCCACACAAACTCCCCCTTTCCCCCCTCGCAAATTCCCACTTTTCCTCCCACACAAATTCCACTTTTTCCCCCTCACAAATTCCCCCTTTCCCCCCTCACAAATTCCACTTTTCCCCCCACACAAATTCCATTTTCCCCCCTCACAAATTCCACTTTTCCCCCTCACAAATTCCACTTTTCCCCCTCACAAATTCCACTTTTCCCCCTCACAAATTCCACTTTTCCCCCTCACAAATTCCACTTTTCCCCCTCACAAATTCCACTTTTCCCCCTCACAAATTCCACTTTTCCCCCTCACAAATTCCACTTTTCCCCCCACACAAATTCCATTTTTCCCCCTCACAAATTCCACTTTTCCCCCCACACAAATTCCATTTTTCCCCCTCACAAATTCTCACTTTCCCCCACACAAATTCCCCCTTTCCCCCCTCACAAATTCCAGCTTTGCTCCCACACAAATTCCCCTTTTCCCCCACACAAATTCCCACTTTTCCTCCCTCACAAATTCCACTTTTCCCCCACAAATTCCATCTCCTCATGGCCCAGGGAAGGGCCTCACTTTGCCAGGGAGTTGTGGGCCTCAATGAATATCTCCTGGGCTTTCTCAGGGAAGGTTTTGGTGCTGAAATCCGGGTCGTGATCCTTGATCTTCCGCAGGCTGGGAAAGAACAAATCAAGGAAAGAACAAAACTGGAGCTGTCCTGGATGTCTGGATCCTACAGGATTCAATCCCAGCTTTTACCAGCTGAGAACTGGAGATCCCCCACTAAGACAAAACCTTCAGGGGGTGTAAAAGAGCCAAATCCAAAGAATCCTAAAAAAGCTGGGAGTGCACGGCGTGGCTGCTCCCAGCAGGAGAGGTGGGAATGCCAGGGAAGGGGAGCAACAACAAAAATGGGAAAAGCGGGGAGGAAACAACCCCTTCATCCTAAAAATCACCCAGAGATCCCTCAGCCCCTCACAGAGGGGGTCTGGTGGGGGCTGAGAGGATGTGGGGGGATTCTGGGGGGGTCTGGGTGACCTGGGAGGACACAGGGGCGTTCTGGGGGGGATTTGGGGGAGTTTTGAGGGGATTTGGGGGGATCTGGGTGTCCTGGAGGTGACCTTGGGGGGACACAGGGGGTGTCCTGGGGGGGATTTGGGGAATCTTGGGGGTCCCAGGGGTCCTGGAGGTGACTGGAACACAAAGGGGGGTCACAGGGGGATCCTGGGAGATTTGGGGGGGATCCTGATGAGTTTTGAGGGGATTTGAGGTGTCCTGAGCGGCCTGGAGTGACACAGGGGTGTCCTGGAGGGGATTTATGGGAGCTTTGAGGGGATCTGGGGGTCCTGGGTGTCCTGGAGGTGACTGGAGGGAACACAAGGGGGGTCCTGAGTGGGTCTGTGGGAGTTTTGAGGGGATCTGGGGGGTCCTGGGTGGGTCTGTGGGAGCTTTGAGGGGATCTGGGGGGTCCTGGGTGTCCTGGAGGTGACTGGATGGAACACAAGGGAGGTCCTGAGTGGGTCTGTGGGAGTTTTGAGGGGATCTGGGGGTCCTGGGTGGGTCTGTGGGAGCTTTGAGGGGATCTGGGGCTCCCAGGTGTCCTGGAGGTGACCTGGGGGAGGAATACCAGCCACGGCCAGAGCCAGGAGAGGCCAAGCAGCAGGTTAATGAGGCTAATTAGCTAACGAGGGGTACGTACGCCAGCTGGGAGGCCGCTGTCTGCCTCAGCTTCTGCATCTGCTGCTTCACCCCGTCCTTGGAGAGCGAGCTGAGGCGCGCGTCGCCCTCGGGGGGCACGTAGGGATCCATGATCTCAGCTGGGGGAAAGCAGCTCAGCAGCAGGCTCAGAGCCCCGGGGGAAGGCAACTCCTCCCAGGGAGATGGGAGAATCCTGAGAGCTTCCCTGGGAGAAGCTGGCCCACGGGTGCTGCTCTCTGCTGCTCCCCCACAGCCCAGGGAGCAGGGGGGAAATGGCTTCAAAATGAAGTTTAGAGGGGATTTGGGGATGGAATTCCTCCCTGAGGGGCTGGGATGGGATTCCCAGAGCAGCTGGGGCTGCCCCTGGGTCCCTGGCAGTGCCCAGGGCCAGGCTGGAGCAGCCTGGGGCAGCGGGAGGTGTCCCTGGGTGGGATTGAAGGTCCCTTCCCTCCAAACCTGGGGTTCTGTGGGGTTCCCCAGCCCTGTCTTGGAATGAAAAGGGGCTTTTTGGGTGGAGTGTGGCTTTTTTGGGAGAATGGCCTTCCCTTCCATTTCCTTTCTTTCCTCTCCAGCCATGGCAGGCGTGGCACTGGGTGGGATCTGAGGTCCCTTCCCACCCAGACCATTCCATGATGGCACTTTCCAGGTCCTTGTAGCACTGCTCTGCTTTTACAGGTGGAGAAATGGGGAAGAAATCCCTCGCAGTGAGGGTGCCAGGCCCTGGCACAGTGCCCAGAGCAGCTGTGGCTGCCCTGGATTCCCGGCAGCGCCCGGGACAGGGCTCGGAGTGTCCCTGGAGGGCAGGGGTGCCACTGGAGGGGCGTTCCCAACCCAAGCCCCTCTGGGATTCCAGGATTCCAGACAAAGGCACCAACAGCTCCGGAGAGCGGGCAGGGAAGCCGTTCCCCCGGCCAGAAGGAAGGGCGGGGGAGGAACTCAGCCTGATCCCGCGCGGTTCTCTCTCCCATGCCCGTACCCGTGCACGCCAGGAAGAAGGTGCGCTCCATGCGCTCGTCCGGGAAGACCGGCGCCGCGGAGCTCAGCCGCCTCTGCCTCTCCTCAGCGCTCAGCTCCCGGGCCCACTCGGGCACCCGCGGGCCCTTCCTCCTGCTCCTGGCCGGCACAACCAGCGGCAGCGCCGCGGGCCGGAGCAGCGACTCGGCAGCCTGAGGGGAGGCAGCGCCGAGCCCGGGGTGAGCCGGGCGCCGCCAGGCCTCCACTGACCTCCCCTCTCGCCGCACGCGCCACGGCCCGCCGCGCTCCTCCCTCGCCCTCAGCCCCCACACCGCTCATCCCGCGGCAGCACAGCCGCTCCCCGGAGCCCCTCAGGCCGCCCGCGCCGGCCCCACCTTGCAGCAGAGCCGCGGGGCCCTGCGGCCCAGCCCCGCCGCCATGGCGGCCGCCATCTTTCCCCCGCCGCGGGGGATGGCGGGAACGGGGGAGGGGGCGGGGCCTTCCAGACCCCCCCGGACGCGCAGAACCCCCCAGGTTCCTGCACCCCCCAGCAGCTCCGTGGGTTTTGTGCGATGCTTTTGGGATTTCCCACGGCAGCAGCCCCTGGAGGTGGAGGCGGGTCGGGGGCAGGGGTCTCTCCGCATGCCCCCGGGACAGCCCAGGATGCGGCCAGCAGCACGGGGGGGGCTCGGGGGTCCCTCCGAATATCCCGAGGACAATCCAGGATGCGGCACGCCCGCCCTAAATCACAAACCGGCTCATCCCAAGCCCTCTTCCCTGGGAAGCCCACCGCCGGCAGCCGCCGGGACACCCCGGGGATGCTCGTCACCCGCCCACGGCCGCGGGGCGCGGCCCCGGCCCGGCCCGCGGAGCCAAAGGCGAGCCCAGCCCGGGGTGCGAAGCCCGGGGGGCCCCTCGGGGGCGGGGGGCTCGCCGGAGGCTCCGGCCGCGCTCGCTGCGCCTGGCCCCGCTCCCAGCTCGCTTTGGGGACTGTTGATCTTGGCTCCGAGGACGCGTTGCTCCATCGGACAGCTGGTTAATGTGTAGTGACGGCTCCGCTGTGCCCGAGACCGTTGATCCCGGCCCGAGCTCTTATCAGAGCCGGGAGCGGCCGTGCGGGGCTGGGCGGGGGGCGCGGGGGGAGCCGGGCCCCGCTGCGTGGGGGGATGGCGTCTGCAGCCCGCCAGCACCTCCCAAAATTCGGAGTGATGCCCACTGGGGTGCGCGGGGGGCGACACCAGCAGAGAGCGCTTCCCGCAGCAGCTCCGGTGGGAAACGTGGAGCCCTCTGGAAAACCGGGATGAAGCTCCGGGGCTGCGGAGCCAATCCTGGAGCAGCCGGGCTGAGTCACCGGCCCAGAGCCCCACGGCCCCGGCGCTTTCCCACGGCTCCCGACTGGTGGGGCTGGATTTTCCCAGCCCAGCTGGCTCTCCCGGGATGCCATCCCGGCCGGTTTCACCTCCGTGGGCAGCGCTGGGGGCTCTGGAACCCCTCTGGAGCCGCCTCCTTGCCCGTGGGGGGCTCCTGGGGGGCTCGGCCCGAGAGCATCCCTGAGGAAATTTGGGATGGGGCCATGGAGATGCCACTGGATGATGTCCCCAGCCCAGCTGTGCTATTCTCCTTGCAAAACCACCACGTGGGGATTTGTCCCGTGGGAGAGCGGGATCAGGGCTGGGATCAGGGCTCGGCACCCGCCCCAAGCTGTCCCCGCCAGCTCCAGGCAGGGGCTGGGCCACCTTTGCCTCCATCCTTGTGCAACTTGTCCCAGGTGAGGCGGGAGGGGACGGGCAGAGCCGCACGCACACACGGAGTGGGGAAAATCCAGGGAAAGACGCCTCCCAACCCCCCGGGAATGACCCGCGGAGCAAGAGGCCCCGGAGCTTGGAGCGCTGCTGTCCCCGTGCTCCCGAATACCAGAGATTCCAGCCCTAAGCCGGCGGCCCAGACCTGCGAGGCAGGATTAGCCGGTGCCCTGCGGCTGCTCCCGCCCCGGCAGCAACGGCGAGAACTCCGGCGAAAGAGAGAGAAGAAAAGAAAAGCCTCTCTTGAGAATTTCATTTTTTTCTTTCTTCCCCTTTTAAAATTTTTCTCCCCCCTTGTTTTTCCTAATTAGAAAGGAGCACTGACAGCGGTTGGTGGCTGCAGAGGCTCTGGGCTGATTACAGCTCCTGGCTTCCACCCCGTCCGTTTGTCCCCGGGCCCTCCGCAGTCTGGCGCTACAGGAGAACCCGGTTTGGTCGGGACACGGCGGAGGAGGCGGCTTCCCCCCGCCTTTCTCCGTGGAGCCTCGCTCATTCTCTCTTTCTTCCTTTTTTTTTTTTTTCTGGATTCTTGCTGACAGCAGCATCTGTCACCTCCCAGCATCTCCCGTGCGGAGCAGCGCCCGCGGAAAGCGCCCGGAGCCCTTTGGCAAGCACAAGCCCCGTGCCCACCGAGACCCCCCCGGCGGGGCAGGAGGGCACCCGGTGACCCCGAGGCCATGCGGGATGGGAATTAGAGCTCAGAGGAGACAATCCCCTCCGCCTCCCTCCCGCGGCTCTGCTCCAGGAATAGTTTTATCCTGCCCCTGACCTTCCCGTGGCTCTGCCAGGGACAGCCACCCGCGGCCACCCGCGCTGCCAGCACCGCGGCAAGGCGGGCGGGGACGGGACTTTTGCCCTGGCAAAGTCCCCCGGCACGGCCGGGGCTCGGCTGGGCTTCTCCCGCCGTCCTGCTGCGGTGGCCTCGGGGCGTCCCCAGCGCGGCACGGCCGGGCTGAGTCCAGTCCCATCCACCCCGGCTGCAAACCCCACACGGAGCCTCCTCGCCAAACCGTGGGGTCCAGCCCTTCCCTGGCCGCAGGGCAGACGGGGCTTTCCGCCCAGAACCCCGCCAGGATTCCATAAAATCCTAAACCGTTCCCTGGGCCAGCTGCCAGCGCCGACGTCCCCCCACCCCGCAGCCTGTCCCCGTGTCCCCGTGTCCCGCGGGGCTCCGCGCCGCTGCGAGCTGGCAGGACGGAGCAGGGCGGCAGCTGCCCGAACCCCCCGCGCGGCTCCAGCTGTTTCCAGCTGTTTCCAGCTGTTCCCTTGTCTCCCTTTCCTTCCCCGGGGCTCTGCAGCACAATGCGGCCCCGCGGCAGCCCCGGATGAACCCGGGCTCGGCAGCGCTGGCTTTTTGTAACCATGTGCTGAGAGCTGTCTGTACTTTCTCCCTGCCCCAGTTCGTGCCGCCGGCTCCTCCGGGTCTCAGCGAATCCCTGCTCCCTCCCTGAAATCCCTGCTCCCTCCCTCGAACCCCTTCTCCCCTCTCGAACCCCTTCTCTCTACCTCGAATCCTGTTCCCCTCCTCAAATCCCATCTCCCTCTCTCGAGTTGCTGCTCCCTCCCTCAAACCCCTGCTCCCCCCTGCCTGGAATCTCTACTCCCCTCCCCAAATCCCTTTTCCCTCCTCGAATCCCTTTTCCTTCCCAAATCCCCATTCCCTCCTCAGATCCAACTCCTCTCCTCAAATCCCTGCTCGCTCTCTCCCTGGCTCAGCGCTAACTCGTCTTTTTTAAACAGCAAAGTATCACTTTTAACAAAAATAAATCTCGTTGGGGAAGGAATAGTGAGAAACAAACTGAAACACAGAGAGCAAAGAGGGAAACCCGGGTGTCCCAGCACGGGGGCACCATTGCAGCTCTGCCCCCAGTCTGAGTGCACTGGCAGAGCCAGGAGCCGTCATCCCCTGAACGGGGGGTACTGGGAGCCCCACTGGCGGGGTGCCAGTGCCACCCCAAAACCAGGAGCCCCTGGGTGCACTGTGCCAATCCCCGCCCAGGGCAGCTGGCCTGAGAGCCCCCAGTTAACCGGGAGCCAGCATCCGTCCGAACCGGGAGCACCGGGGGCCTCGGTGGATGGGGTGCACTGTGCCAGGCCCACCTGGACCGGGCACACCGGGATCCCCAGTACCGGGCACACCGGGATCCCCAGTACCAGGCACATTGGGATTACCGGGGTTCACTGGGATCCCCATTACCGGGCACAGGGGCACCTCCTATTACAGACACACCAGGATCCCCGTTAATGGTATCCCCATTACCGGGGCTCGCCAGGATCCTCATTACCGGGATCCCCGTTACCGGGATCCCCGTTACTGCGATCCCCATTACAGACACACCAGGATCCCCGTTACCGGGATCCCCATTACCGGGGCTCGCCGGGATCCCCATTACCGGGATCTCCATTACAGACACACCAGGATCTCCATTACCGGTATCCCCATTACCGGGGCTCACCGGTACGCCCATTACCGGGATCCCCGTTACCGGGATCCCCACTACAGACACACCAGGATCCCCGTTACCGGTATGCCCATTACCGGGATCCCCGTTCCCGGGATCCCCACTACAGACACACCAGGATCCCCGTTACCGGGATCCCCATTACCGGGGCTCGCCGGGATCCTCATTACCGGGATCCTCATTACCGAGATCCCCATTATTAGGATCCCCATTACCGGGATCCTCATTACTGGGATCCTTATTACAGATACATCAGGATCCCCGTTACCGGTATCCCCATTACCGGGGCTCGCCAGGATCCTCATTACCGGGATCCCCGTTACCGGGATCCCCGTTACCGGGATCCCCATTACAGACACACCAGGATCCCCGTTACCGGTATCCCCATTACCGGGGCTCGCCAGGATCCTCATTACCGGGATCCCCGTTACCGGGATCCCCACTACAGACACACCAGGATCTCCGTTACCGGTATGCCCATTACCGGGATCCCCGTTCCCGGGATCCCCACTACAGACACACCAGGATCTCCGTTACCGGTATGCCCATTACCGGGATCCCTATTATTATTTCTGCCCCGTTCCCGGGAAGGGGGCGTGTCCTCGCGGGGCGTGTCCTGGCGCAGGCGCACTCCCCTCCAGCGCTTACGCAACTCCTCCCGCCGCCTTTTCCCCCCGCCTCTCTCCC